GGAGAGGAGAGAGGGAGAAGGAGAAGGAGGGGAGGAAGAATGGATAGCTCCGGCGGTTGACCCAGGAAGCGCGAGAATGACAGGTTGATGAAGAGAGCTTGACGGTTGAGGTGAACCGTAGACGAGGGTCGATGATGTGAGTTAAAATGGCCCCCTCGTCAGAGTTTAAGATTACCCAGACTTAAGGGAGTCCCGGATCGACAAGCACGGGCCTTTCCTTTTCTGTTCGTCTTTTTCTTTTCTTATTCTTTCCCCCTCTGCCAGTGGAAAGGAAAAAGAGGTGAGTTGATCTGGAGAGAATCGCCTGGGCCCGGCCACAAAAGCTGGGTCAAACTGGAGCTTGGGTTCCACGGGTAGCGATCGGATCGTATAGGTCGACTGGACGCTCCAACCACAGAACACTGCGGGAATTCCTCAGCCTGCACCGTCGTCCACCGGATCGAACACGACCCCAGCCCGTTTCTCGCAAGTGAGATGGGAGAGATAGAGTGATAAATAGGAGAGGGCGAAGAGACAGACAGACGGATGGACGGTGGATGGATGGATGGATGACTGTGGATGAGCTGTCGGGGCGTCTGTTTCGGAGGAGGAATGTAAGCCGATCTGAATCATCCACTCGGTGCGTACGACAGCAGCGGGAAGCAGAGCGCAAGAGAGAGCAGGATGGTGGAGGACGACATGCGACCCGATGGAAGGGAAAGAAACATCGATCTTGAACAGTCCAGACGGGGAGAAGGTAAATCATATAAAAGTTATGATAATCATCACCCAAATCAATTAAAAAAACCCCCCATTTAAAAAAATAATAACGGAATAGAAAATTAGAAAAATAAAAAATAAAAAATAAAATAAAATCAAAAGAGCAGACGATAGGAAAGGATTAGAACGATTCACCATCAACAGTGCAGGGTCGGTATCTGAAGGGGTCATGTATTGTACGGTATTTTAAAAAGAATTTGAAAAAAAAAAAGAAAAGAAAAGAAAAGAAAAAGAAAAAAGAAAAAAGGAAATAGAAAAAAAGCAAAATAAAAAAAGAAAAGGAAAAAAGAAGGCCTGTGAATGGACGGGAGAGCGACTAGGCCCAAATGGGTCAAGCCAGAGACAAGCCCGACCAGAGAGCATGAAGAGCAACCGGCGGGCGCAGGGCGGGGGGGCGACCCAGACGATGGTAGGCCCGAGCAGAGGCAGAAATGAGGATGGTGGGTGCAACTAGTGATCCCAAGGGAGCAGCAGACCGCGACGGTGGATCTCCAGGCCATGAGCCCATCGTGGATCCATCATTCTTTATGACCTCTTGACCTCTACTGGAGAATACTGAGTAGAATAATTGCATGAGCCAAGGAGGACAAGAGTAGAAAATATTTATATTCGTAACTCAAGAGAAAGAATAGAATATACTGTAGGAATAATATAAGAAGAAAGAAAAAAAAAAAAAAAAATCTCCAATACGATATGCTCCGCTCAAAAAGGAAAGGATGGAGAAACCAGTCGAACCACCGGACCAGCCTCAGAGCGTCGTCCAATCAAGCCAGAATAGGGGGCAAAGGGTCCATCAAAGCCTATCGTCGATGATGATGATTAAGAAAATAGACTACACACACACGGACTGATTCTCGCGGGGATGGTAGAAGCAGGTACCCCGTGTCATTGGTGAGAGTGATGACGTCCTCCAGACACGGGTTGTCCGACTTGACCTGACGGACCCTTCGATGATCCCCGAGGAAGAAACCAGGCAGATCAAGAGGGCAAACGGACAGACGAATCACAGCACAACGCCTCCGGAGAATGAGAATCTGAACAAAACAGGGAAGAACTGCAGGCAACGGTCGGTCTGTAGGTGTACAGGTAAGTGACTGGATGAAGGAAGAGGGGGTGGGAGACGGCGATGGGGGTCGAGGACCGTGGAACTTGGCCGGGAATTAAATTGGCACGATTCTTGGTGGGAGTTTCTTTTCCTGAAGGAGAAGTTGTCCACTCGAGGGGATTTAGTATTGATGTAGAACGAGGTCGAATACTGTCTGTATACGGAGCGCATAGAAGGAGATGAAGGAGAATGGTGATCAATCAATAACAATAATAATTATAGTAACTATTACTATTCCACTCCGTACGAGACATAGATAACAATACCGGCGTGCAATTACCGACATCTATATGCGACCGCTACTCGAGACATTCTTGTCGTCTGGGATATGCGCGGGGAATGAACGGAAGGGCATGGGGAACTGTCGGAGCCGGCGAGTCCGTTCAAGAATTCCGACAGGCCCACCACGCGGACTCCGACTTGTTTGGCGGAATGGTAGAGATGTGACTAGGAGACTCGGAAGACGCTTCTAGGGATGCAGCGAGGGACAGATCCTCCTATTGTATGTATGATGATGATGTTGCTGGGGGATCATGTGTATGATGATGTAGACTATGTGACCCCAACCCAAGACTCACCCGGAGTCCTTAGGGGCCGTCGTAGTGCGTGAATCTAGTGGTGACCTAACGGGTTAGCGTGCCATGGATAGAGAGAGACAAGAGAAAAAGGGAGGGTGGAGCCTAGACTAGTTAGCCAGAGGGAATCACTTGGGCGGGGGCTGAGTGAACTGGTTGATACTCCATAGTTAATTAGTTAGTGGGCGATGATGCCTGGTGTCAAGCCGCCCCCAAACACCCACACACTCAACCCAGAGGCGTTCGGCCGAAGAGAGATCCCTTAGGTACGTACCTACCTATGTACCTACCTTACCGACTACCTTACCTTAGTTCGGTGGGAATCGTCAAGACGAACTTTAAGAAAGTGATATTGAGTTTCTCACCCTGATCTTACTTGGACCTCTGTGTACCTCGATCGATAGCGATGATCTCCATGGCTGGCTGGTTGGTACCTGGTATAAAGGGTCTGGGAATTCCTTGCTCCGACCGTTTTGTGTCTCTCTTCCCCACACGACCCCCTTGGGGAGATCCGATCGATACGCCGTGCAGATTACATCGTCCATACATCTCCTTCCCGTATTTCCTCCCGTATCTCCTCCGCCCAACAGCGTCGGTCCCCCTCTTTTGCGAGAATCACCCATAATAACCAAATAATAATCGCCATCATAGTAATAATAAAAAATTAAAATTAAAATTAAAAAAATAAAAAGAAAGAAAGAAAGAAACCCCGACAGGACTTGGTTGCCTGCATCGCGGTGGAGTCCCCTCCATCCAACCACGGTTCCGCCCCTGACGAAGAGTTGAGGAGGAGGTGATGTGCACCGGTCATCGAATTGTCGGGGCTGCTGCCCAGACCTGCTCGCATTCCCACCCTAATGAGGCATTCAATCCCCACCGACTGATCCTCACCGAAACCACCTGGAGAACTACGTAGAAAACGTATTCTCGCCAGCTGGTGAAGAAGCTTTGTCCAAACGAAAATATGTGTGTTCCAAGTAAAAAACACGCAAGAACAGGTTTCAGAACGAATGCGGCAAAAAGCCGCAGTGTTTACGAGCGCTGACTGATCAGGCCTTGGTGGCATGGGATCGGATTGGCTCTCGCAAGAGGGGGTGTCTGGAGAATACAGTAAGGACAAAGCAGTTTCAGGGACGTTATTATTATTATTGCTTGTGTGTTATTATTCGTATTATTACTCGATCGTTATTATTCGGTCAGCGGGAGGCGTTCAGCAAGGCCTCTGCATTGCCTCGAGTCCCCGGTCCTCGGGATTTCATGGGAGACAACACCATCCATCATTCGCCGAGTCTCCTCTCCCACGGGCGAATACGGTCCGACGGTACCGTATTCGCCCTTGGATGGGAATGGTGGTCCATCACGAAGACCTATAATATCAGATATTATACCTCATGTAAGCGGGCTGGCGATCGAGTCCAAAGGCCTCGTCATCATCCTCCTCGTCGGGTTCTGGTGCACACACTAGTCCCGCGTTAGTGCCGCCCGGCTCATTTCCAGGCCCTCTGCGTGGAGGAAAGGATCTGCTTTCGTCAGCTTCCAGAAGACCGGGGCGGGAGAGACAGGGTGACACCGCTCATGGGGCGCGACCAACGGAGGACGCACTAGACGACGCGCCCCGACAGGGGGACTGTGCGCCGCGTTCTCGCGCCATGGCATGCCCCATGCCCTGCATGATTGTTGGCGGGGAGGGGAGGAGAGGGGGGGAAGCAGAATAACAATTGCCCGGAGTGCCTGTATGAATGGGGTGGGAGGTAGAGAAGATCCCGCCGGGGCTCCCGTATTCCCTCGTAGATCAGAATCATCCATCCCCATCTGATCGCTTCCATCCTCTTTTGCCTCCAGCTCCTATCCACGAGTAAACCCCCTCACTCCCTGGAGGCCACCGGGGTCCGTGCAGACGCCGGCCAATGGGTTTGGGATACGAATCCCCTCGTCATGGTGGTATGTAGCATGTATCAGAGAAACCTCTGAGAAACCACGAGAAAGATCCGGATGCACCAGGGAGAAGAGACGGGCTGAGGAGGGCTCTGTAGGCACTCCGGTGTAGTCAGTTCTGGAAGACGTCCCACTGCCCAGACGATCAAGAACAGCGTCTCTCCTCCACTATAGTAAAGTTTAGAGTTGGGTTGACGGTGAATTGTCGGTAACTTCGCCCCTAT